GCGGCTCTGGTGGGAGGTGTCCCTGCCCAGGGCAGGGGTTGGGGCTGGATCATCTCTAAGCTCCATCCCAACTCCTTCCCATGCTGTGATTCCATGAACGTTTAACGGCTAATAAAACCCACTCTGGGGACAGACTGGGTGACACACAACACAAACCGAGCTCTCCTTCTCGGGGTTCTCCCTCGCCTCGAGACCTTTCCCGTGTTTCCAGCTGTTTTCCAGCTGTTTTCCAGCTGTTTCCCGCCGTGCCGTGGCGCGGCGATGCCGCGAGGTGGCAGTGTCGCCCCGCGGGACCCGCGTGGGCTCCATCCCCCTCGACCTCCAACACCCCCAGCACAGCCTTCCGCAGCTTCACAGCCCTCCGGGAACACCCCTCAGGCACTCCCAGCCGGGGACGGCTTAGAAGTGTGTCTCCGTGCTGATAATGGAGGGCACAGCAAACCCAATGGGTTACATCCAACCAAACCCTGTCCCAGTGCCCAAACACCTCTGGGGGAAGAACCTTCCCCTAATCTCCAGCCTAACCCTCCCCTGACACAGCTCCAGCTGTTCCCTCATCCTGTCCCTGTCCCAGGGCACAGAGGTCAGAGCTGTCCCTGCATTGCCCCTCGGGAGGAGCTGCAGACCCTGCTGAGCTCTGCCCTCAGTCTCCTCTGCTCCAGCTGGACAACCCAAGTGACCTCAGCCACTCCTGGGCTGGAACTAGATGATCTTTAAGGTCCAACCCAAACCATTCTGTGGTTGTGTGATTGTAAGAAGTCCCTTCACACTCAGAGTACAAGATGATGGGTCTAGACCTTGGTCACAGGATAACTCCTGAGCTCTCACAGAACATCCTTTTAGCTGTAAAACTGACCCTGAGCATAGAGGACACAGAAATCACTGGGACATAATAAACTTGAGGTCCCAGGATGTTACTTTTATGTGATTCCTTTCTGGAGGAGGCACAAGCTTTACCATGTAAACAAAACTAATGCCCATCTACAGAATCACAGGACGGTTTGGGTTGGAAGGGACCTTAAAGATCATCCCATCTCACCCCCTGCCCTGGTCAGGGACGCCTACCACCAGCCCAGGCTGCTCCAAGCCCCATCCAGCCTGGCCTGGAACACTCCCAGGGATGGAGCAGCCACAGCTGCTCTGTGCAACCTGTGCCAGTGCCTCAGCACCTCACAGGGAAGGATTGGAGTTGTTCCCTCCAAAAGAAAACAGTGTCATGCTGTCAGGTAAGCCATAAATCAGGAAGTTTCAGTAGGCGATTCACAGCACCAGGTCTGGTTGTGGCTTGAGGTCACAGCCAAAAATCACCTCTCTGTTTCCATATACGAAACACAACCCTCTGGCTAAAAGAATCCCCCCCAAAGCTTTTCCATTCTGCTGAGATAATGGTCTAGTGAAAGCTTAGAACACAAATGAGCTCACAGGTTCCAGAGCACCTGTAAGCTGAAGAGGAAAATGTGGCTGTGGCTGAGCATGGCTGAGCCCCACGTGCCTCTGGAGCTGGTTCATCCCCTTGGAGCCGGTTCTGCCTGTGTCACTGCAGGTCAGACACTGCTGCTGCTCCCAGCCAAGAGGCACTGCCTGGCCAAATCTCACTATGATACAGCATGTTCCTGGAAGCTGCAGAAAGGAGCAGCAGGATGTGAGTCAGTGCGAGGAGGGTGGTGGAGGGAGGGAGCAGGTACAGCTCTGCCTCAGCCATGCTCATCACCTTCACACCTTGGGACCAGGGACCCAAGGGAATGGCTGCAGCTGTGTCAGGGGAGGGTTAGGTATCAGGACAAAGTTCTTCCCCCAGAGGTGTTTGGGCACTGGGACAGGGTCAGGTTGGATGTCAGGACAAGGTTCTTCCCCCAGAAGTGTTTGGGCACTGAACAGCTCCCCAGGGCAGTGGGCACAGCCCCAAGGCTGACAGAGCTCCAGGAGGGTTTGGCCAATGCTCTCAGGCTCAGAGTGCATTGTTGGGGCGTCCTGGGCAGGGCCAAGAGTTGGACTGGATGATCCTCATGGGTCCTTTCAAACAATATTCCATGACTCTGCAATTCCCCTTTCCTGCCAGGCTGCACTGGCACATGACCTGCCTGCAGGTTCTCTCTCCCCCCTCTCCCTCCACCTCAGGAATGACACCTGCCAGCTTGAAACCTGCACGAACTCCCTGCTACAAGTGACTTTTGCCCAAGTCAGGGCCAGGAAAAGGCGAAGGATTCAGCCCTGAGTGCTGAGCAGCAAATGAGCCACTATTTA